CGTATTGTGGTGGGGTCACGCTTCATCTTTCTTGCAATTTGTTCAGCGTTCATATTCTCCATATATGCTAGTATTTTCCCTTCTCCATGTCAGTCATCTGGGTACGCATGGATGTCATAATCACATAAAAATTATTCATTATAGTGTTTTGGTGAAGTTGACGAAGAGATTGACATGAACATTGGTAAAAAAAAAATTAAAAAAGGGGAAACGCTATGTTAAAAGTTATTGATCTAGTTACACATACAGATCGGGCGTTACTTTTTGAGGCGACTGTACATGTATCATAACAGTATTTTTATTCTGTATATGGTGTTTTTGTAGTATTAAATCATGATATACTTGGTTGACAAGACTATAATTATAGGTAGAAAAGAATCTTAGTAAAGGAAAGAAATTAATGATTCTTAATCACTATTCACCTTGATCAATAGGATCTTAATAATTATTGTTCTATAATTCAATATATAATGTTGATTTAGTCATCATTCGAAAAATACACTGCACTATCATGAAATCCTAAATTATCCTCTATCTTAATGGAAAATATCCGGGATCATTCATAGAAATAAAAGCTTCATAATTCTGCGCAGGCCCACAGAACAAAGTTGCACGACCAATGTTTGCAAAAATATCTTTCTCTTCGTCATACTCTCCAAGTTTTGTATTGGACAATGACGGTTTTTCAGAAATTGTGAAATTTTCATTCACTAAAGGAGAAATTATTGAATCAATATCTGAAATGTGTAGTCACTAGGCACATTAATTGCTTGAAATATCGAAGTTTCATTAGCATCTAATAAAGTAGAGTTATGATTTCCATTTTGACGGTGCTTTAGCATTTGTATGCTTTGTACGTGTGAGAGATAAGAAATCAGTACTTTTTGAACCTTTGCTACTTGTTCATACATTTATATATTTTTTGCTATGTCGTAATGTTACATTATAATAACTGCCCTCCTTTTGGTACGTAAACGAATATTCGGATATTGGCATATAACCTGTTTGTATTGTTCCCAAAATTCGATAGAATATTGTTCATTTGATATAAATTATGTATTGTCTCCGAGAACCTCTATAATATAGATTTAAAATTGATTCCTATGAGTATTTACTACGCTGAATGAGTTAATTGATTCTCTTGACTAAAATCAGAAAGCCGCGATAACTTTTATGAAAATCACGTTTAATTACGTGATCCATCTTCATGTATACATGTCCTCAAAAAGGTAATCGATGAATCAAGAGCACAACACAATTGCAAAAATTTATAAATTTTCTATTATTAAAATTACCAGATTTCGCAAATTGATACATTATTTTAATCATACAAGCTTACCAAATTGAGTGAAGAAGTGTGCTTCACGAACATTTATAATGAAATGATTTCGTCAGAATGGACAGAAACTGCAATTTATCAATCCAAGCGAAACAATAAAGAAAATAGGAAGAACTTAACATGTAATTTTAATTGTCAAGAAATAATTAATAAATTTACATAAAAGCATTGCATTATACGCGATCTGCGATATGTGACTGTCCACCGATATTTGCATCATGCTGCATTGTTGTAAGTCAAGTGGTGCTTATTTACGTGAGATCTTACATATTCTTTTTTTTGATTATCATTTTAAAAATATCATACACGAAAGTTATTCTTTGTTTCAGCCATAGTATGTTAATTTTGGTGTTTATCTGTAAACGTTTTCTAATATAGTTTATATTGTTCTGGTTATCCATACCATCCTGTTATTCGCATTAATTAAAAGTGTCGGGAGGTAATTTCACATATAAGTGGGAAAAAATTAGTAACTGCGTGTAGAGATCATTAGCATATGTCATATTTTAGAAATTCCCACGCGATCTTTATCGAGATAGACGTTATATACTGCGCACTTGAAAAAAATTCATATCTTTCTACTCACACCAAATACGAGTAACTTCATCTAATACTTTTGTTTGTTTTTGAATTACAAGTTTGAATTACAAACAAACTTTTGATTTATATTTAAAAAATATAACAAATGTCGTCCTTCAACGAAAAAACTCCAATTCAAAGCACGTCAACGGCAAGTCCCTCGCCAACCAATAAAGTATTATGCCTCTGTAAAAAACCAGCGGTTAAATTTCAAGTCAAGAAGGAAAGTCAAAATAAAGATCGTTGGTTTTACAGGTGCTATAATGCAATCATCCATTATTTTGAAGGAACCGGGACAACTTGTAATTTTTACAAGTGGGAGGACGAACTGGAAACGGATCTCACGAAAGCGTCTGCTGTTTCTGCCAGCTCTGCTAGCACTTCTGGATCGATGATAAATGATCCATTGACTCCTCCACCAGACAATAATCATGGTTATCGTCATCAATGAACAAATTCATAGTTATCGTCCACTTAATGATAACGGTAAAACACAAACACCACATCAGCAATCGCAATATGATTATTATCACAGTCCTTTATATCATCGTCAAGATTTTTCAAATCAACAAGAATTTCCTCCTCGTCCTCAACCCAAATATAGTCGGGCAGAATATTCTTCTCGTCAAAGAACAACAACTCTAACATACTCGAAGAGAAGATGAAGAATTCTGAACAACCGTGCCCGAAGGGTTAATCAACAATCTTTTTATGCAGAATTCTTCATCAGCACATTTACGAGAATGGTTCAATCACAATTAATGAATTGATTCTGCTTTCACCTTCACTGCCACCGGATCCGATTAAGACATAAAAAGAGAGGTTAGCAAGGGAGGAACGACGGGCTCGCGCTTTTGAGCAAAGTGCGAAATTCAAAGCAAATTTGCTTGCAGAAACAAAGGAGCGATTGGAGAAGACGAAGAAGGAAAATAAAAATTTGAAGAGGAAGTTAGAGGAAACGGAACAATTAGAGGAGGAGAATCGGTATTTGAAGAGGAGGTTTATGGAGTTGAAGAGAAAAGAGCCTCATCATTATCTTCATCTACACATAAACCTGAAGATACCTATCAAGATGGACAAGAAGAAAAAGAAGCAAGAATACGAAAATTAATGGAGAAGATTGAAGTTTGAAAAATCACAATGAGTGAAACGTTGAAAGTTTGAATGAGAAAATATGGTTATGTGAAGAGAAGAGTCAATTCCAGGAATCCCAAATCGATAGGTTAAGACAGCAATATTTAGCTGCCCCGAAGGTTACGGAACTGGGAAAAATTCCGCGAAAAAAATGTGCTGCGAATTTGAAAAGATCCCGCGAAGAAAACGAATTGCTTGTTCGCGAAAAGAGGCTTATATCCTGGGAACAAGAGCTTCTTAAGCAAGAACACAAAGAATTAACGAGGAAACTTGAAAGGGAAGGACTCAAATCTTATTTAAATCGATTATTTTATGTCGTTACCGCTATTTTTATTAGCATCATCATCTATTCATCATCAATATCATTGTAATTTCATTGGCTCGCAAGGTGGCGACTTTATGTTAGTTAAGCCAACTTTTAGAAATTTAAATTTATATATAGTCAAATTCACTTTGAATTAGCGATCGCGATTAATATGAAAATACAAATGGTTTTTGATATAAAGCTAAGATAAATGAAAAATATTTAATATGAAAAAGAATATAATAAAGAATTTTGAGTAAAGAAAAAAAGTGGTCGATAATGTCTATTATAGAAAATTCGACTTTTATATAGTTAAGATTCTTATGTAATAACTTATTATGAAATTTTAACTTTTATTGTGCAAAGTAAATATATTACTAAGATGTACAGTTAAAGCAACGAAGCTTATTTAGAAAAGGCTAATGTTGAGGAACTTGAACGCTTTGTTCACTGAATCTACTGTGATAATTCCAATTTGTGGCAAATAAGCATATCGTGAGATATCTATCGGTTGTCAAAAGATCGAATGGAATCGGCGACCATCATAGTGTCACGTCATCACCATTGGACCTATTCCGGACTACACCCTCTGATGACTTCGATCAATAGACGTATCTATTATACGACCAATCACCTCTTCAGAAACATCCCGTTCGTATGATCCCACAGTATTAATATTATATACATCATGTTGGGAAAAAATCATTATTATAATAATCATGGATATCTTGCAAAACAGTATTATATTATCTACGTCATGTTGAGGTCCCATATTTGATGTATTATGTCAATATTGGAATTTATAATATTCTCACAGTATTAATATTATATATGTCATGTTGGGAAAAAATCATTATTAATAGTGATCATGGATATCTTGCAAATGATGTAAACGCTCTATTTTTAGATGGTTTTACGTAGCACTCTGATCATCAATGACATGTATTTTTATTTTTTTTACTTTTTTATGTATTTACAATAGTAATTAAAATGTAAATAGTTCAGCTTATTGCTACAAATTCGTTTATGATATTTGAAACACTTCATCCTAAAATCATGAATATTGTGAATTAAACACTTATCGCAGTATCTATTTTTGACAATAGAACTATGAAAAAATACATGTAATTAGACTAAATTTTGTTTATATCCTATGGCTAATTGATGTTCGGATTATCACGTGTTCGGAAAATCGATCCTACGCTCTGGCGTTTTTGTCAGTCAAATGGTGCTTATTTCCGCGAGAAATATGGTAGTTATCAAGATTTTACATATTTTTCGGGTGGCAATTTCACATATAGGTGGGGAAAAAATTAGTAACTGCGGGTATAGATAATCGTTAGCATATGTCATATTGTTCCTTATTTTTAGAAATTACCACGCGATCCTTATCGAGATAAGACGTTATATACTGCGCACCTGAAAAAAATTCTTTATAAATACGAGTAACTTCGTCTATGAACTTTGACAAAAAAACAACCTTCTTTTTAATTATTATAAACAGAACTTTACACTAAACTTCGACCACATTTGCTCTTCTATCACTAAAGGAAAAACGAGTTTGTGCATGAATACTCCCTATTACAGAATAGGGTGAGATATTGTTTCATTAAGTTATTTGTCTAACCATATGTATCTGAAGTTACGCTGCCATCAGAAGTATGATGATAGCAGAGAA